CTCCTGGGGCAGCTACGGTGGAGGTGACAATGATTCAGGCTGTGGGGTTGCCATGGCTTGAACCGACGAATGAGGAGGGTCTCCCACTAAGGGTGACTCCAGATTTGAGCCTAGGGACTGCTTGGTGGTCCTGTGATTTGACCTCAGTGAGGAAAGTGCAAGGAGTTGGGTGGTGCCCCCAGTTTAGTTATGGCCACTTCCAAGGGGGGCTTGGTAGGGTCAAACGTTGGAGACCAGGACTAACACGTGTCTCTAGTATTTGGCCGTTAGGAGGTACTTGCTGGAGTGTAAATTTCTTTACTTTTTTTTTTTTTTTCTGAGACAGGGTCTCACTCTGTTGCCCAGGCTGGAGCACAATGATGCGATCTCAGCTCACTGCAACTAGAGTGTATATTTCTGAGAGTGTCAAAATGAAATTGGGGAGGATGTTCCAGGGATGGGATGAAGAAGTGGCAGTTCACACAAAGTTTGGTGGCTCATGCCCACTCTGGTCACCTGACCTCTGAGTCTTTATTCATCCGTCTTTGGCAACCCTGCCACAGGACGGGGCTTTTCTTCCCTCTTTTCCTCTCTCCATATCCTGCTACTTTCCTGTGTCCAATGTGGCTTCTTGGGACACTTCAGTCAGGGTGGTGGCGGCTCTGGACAGCTGGGGGAGGCGGAGTCCTGCAGGCTGGAGAACTGGCTGCACGGCATCTTGGATGAAATTGCCAGGGGACCAGGGGGTGCACTCGTGCCCTGGCTGGCCTGATTTCTTGATGCTCCCAGGCATTGCCTGCTTGGGGACATGAAGAATTAACTCAAGGCGTGGGTGCAGGCACTGGGCAAGAGGCTTACACCCCCCCCTTTGCCATGGAAGCAGGAGCAAGAAGGCAAGTGTCTGTTGCCCGCCCTCCTCCTCTTCCCTGCCTGGCTGAGCCAGCACTTTTTTCTTCTCTCCTTTATCTGCACAAAAAGTACAGGGTGTTCTGTTTCTCCTGTGCATACAGATCAAGGAGTGGATGTTATTTCTTTCTTTCTTTCCCCAAGGCGAGAGAAGGACAGGGCAGGCACCGGGGACCATTTAAGCGATTGTCCTTCCTCAATAAGGCAGTTTCTCATACATTAAAACAAAACAAAACAAACCCCAGAAGGGAAAGGAAACGATGACACAAACCAACAGAAAACAAGTTGCCCCTTACTGCCCCCACTCCCCACCAGGCGTTTAGCACACAGTAGGCGTCCTGGCTATGTTCTCTCTCTCCCTTTCGGTTGGACCCCAGGGTATGCTGGCTCCATGGGATGATTAAGTGATGTTAAGGGCGCTGCTGTCCAGGGTGTGCTGGCTCCATGGGATGATATTAGGGCCACAGGACAGACTCATTTCTCTGCCCTCTGTGGGCTGTGTAGGGGGCTCCTCTGGCTTCCTGGAGGCACTGGGGGTTGACAGGCTTATCTAGGACAGGGCCTGAGGAGGGACAGGACTGTGGGATTAGCTCTGAGGGTCAGGATACAGGGGACTCACATGGCCCCTGCTTACTTGCGTGGCATTCCATGTGCGATGTCTGTTTGAGTTCAAAGTCTCTGAGACCAGGTGCAGGGAGCTGGGGGTTCTTTCTGTGCTGATCTTGGAGGCTGCCTGCATTCACATTGTCCATTCCACAGCTTGTTCCAAAGACAGTCTGCTCACGGTGTAGCTTCCGCACTTGACAAATTATTTTTATGCACGAGGCCCTTGAAAATGTTGACAGTCTTGTGACATCCATGGAGGGTCTTATTTGACGGCCACAACAGAGCGGTGAGGACAAGCGGCCCATGCAAGGCTCTGGGAGCTGGGAAGGCAGGTAGCTGGCTAGAACGGCCCTGCTGGCACCGAGCGCTGTTCGCCTATCCTGGCTTCCCAAGGCTGGAGCTTATCTGGTCCCCTGGTTTTCAGAGGTGGTGCTCCAGGGAGCCTGGGGTGAGGGGGACCCGCAGTTTAATACCTGCTACACCCTGACCTCCATAGCAGCTTTTTAAGGGGTTCCACCAGTAAGGCGTGAGAGCCACTGCAGCCATGCCTTTCCGTAGTGGATAGGAGACTGTGTGGGGGGTTGCCTGGGGCAGTGCCGCCGGGCGGGTTGCGGCGCCACGTCAGTCCAGGGTGCGCAGGGTGGCGGCGTCCCCCTCGCAGCTGGCGCGGCCCCTCCGGAGCACGCCGCGTGTTTACCGACCTGACGCAGCGTCCCGGCCCGGCTGGCAGACATCCGGCAGCATCACCGCTGACCCTCCCCGCCCGCCCTATGCAGGCGGCCACATCCTTACCTCTAAATTTAGTCTGCAGGAAGGAGAACCTGGGGTAGGGTGGGGGAGGACTGGAGCCAGCCCTGATGCCTGTCCTCCTGGGAGGGAGGCAGGACCTAGCATCTCTGGGGTGAGGGAGGAGAGGGAGGGGAGTCAAGAGGACGGAGGCGGCAAGGAGGAAAGCGCCGGAGCGGCCCTGCTCTCGGCGTGGCCTCATCCCCAGCGAAAGCGCGACACCCGCTGTCTGGGAAGGGGAGCGGGAGCCCTTGCCTCCGAACTGGAGGCTGCCCGGATGGGGCTCCGGGTCTCGGGCGCCACCTACCGGCCTTTTTGGGAACCGATTCTGCACGGAGTTGGCGGGCCTGGGTCTCAGGGGAGCTTGGAGGACTTTTAGGGGCTGGAGGGTGGGCG